CGGCAAGGAGACACGAGGCTGAAGGTTGATCTGATGCGCAGCGTACTGAACCGCGAACGGCCACAGAAAATGGGGAGCAGCCGCATGGATCATGGAAGTACGAGCGACGTCCATGACCATGCCAATGCGGCGCTCAGCAATCCCATTTTGCTGCGGGGAGGCCGGAAGCGTGAACGTCTGGCGGATGCCCTCGAAACGACAGAAGGCCCTCAGGAGGTCGGAGGAAAACTCCCCACCTCTGTCTGAGTGCAGACGCAGAACAGGAAGGTCCGAGCCGAAACTCTCACTGAGCTGGCGACGAGCACCGCGGATCCAGTCGATCAACACCTCAGGGACCTCACCCTTGCTGCGCAAGGGGAAGACTGTGGTGTATCGCGAGTAGTCGTCAACGACCAGCAGGGAGTAACGCGCGTGACCCTGTCCACGGACGCGGGCTGGGCCCCACACGTCCATGTGAAGAGTCTGCAGAGGTCTGGCGGTGCTCTAGGGGTCCCGTCACGGCGGGAGCCCCTCTCTCCACAGCAGCTTCGTGAGTGGTACTCTCGGCGCTGTCGAGGTGCTGCTGGTGCTGGAGGTGCTGCTAGGGCTGCTGGTGGTGCTACTGGTGCTGGAGCTGCTGCTGGAGGTGCTGTTGCTGCTGGAGGTGCTGGTGCTGCTGGAGCTGCTGGAGGTGCTCCTGGTGCTGGACGTGTTGCTGGTGCTGGAGCTCCTGCTGGAGCTGCTGGAGGTGCTCGTACTGCTGGAGCTACTGGAGGTGCTGCTGGTGCTGGAGGTGCTGCTAGGGCCGCTGGTGGTGCTGCTGGTACTGCTGGAGCTACTGGCGGTGCTGCTGCTGCTGGAGCTGCTGGTGCTGCTGGAGGTGCTGGTGCTGCTGGAGCTGCTGGAGGTGCTTGTACTGCTGGAGCTGCTGGAGGTGCTGCTGGTGTTGGAGGTGCTGCTAGGGCCGCTGGTGGTGCTGCTGGTGCTGGAGCTGCTGCTGGAGGTGCTGGTGCTGTTGGAGCTGCTGGCGGTGCTACTGGTGCTGGAGGAGCTGCTGGTGCAGGAGCTCCTGGAGCTGCTGGAGGCGCTACGCGGCCGCGGCCGTACTACGTTCCTCTACTTCAGCAGGTTCTTGGTTCCCCGCCTTCTCCTGGTCCTCCTCCTCCTTTCCTGAGCCCACCGCCTGTCCAGTCCCAGTCGCAGTTACAGCCGGCCTCTCCACTACCTGGTCCTTCTCCCTACTCTGGACCGACTAGAGGTCTTACGGAGCGTCGTGAGCCTGAGTCGCGTTCTGTTTCGCCTGAGTCTCATTCTGCGCCGCCTGTCCGTACTGTTCGAGCTGGTCGTGTTTCGCGTCCGCGTCCTCCTCCTGTCTCTGGCACTCACTCTATGACTCTGCGTCCTTCCACTGCTCCACAGCGTGTCCCTCTGCCGTCTCCTCCTGCGTCCTCTCTTCCTGTCAGTCTGGACCCAAAGTCTGACTCCCTTTGTGCTGCTAGTCCGACGGTCACGCGCTTTCTGGCCACTGCTGTCACTGACTCTTTGTTTGAGTCCACTGCTGCGTCTGCTCTTGTTACTGAGCTCGTTGACTTTGCTGCAGCCTGTCGCCCAGACTACGCCACTAGTCTTGTTGCTGAGTCTGCGTCTGCGTCTGTCTGTCCTCCGTCCGTCGGGGGTGAGTGTGCTCTTGGCACGGACGTCTTTGAGGACAGGCAGGAGTACTTTGAGTGCTTTGCCGCTGCTTCACCTCATCTCGTGTCCATGCTGCTTGCCCCTGAGGGAGACCCGGATGCACCAGACATCCCGACCCCGCGCTCTTACGCAGAGGCGATAGAGGGTCCCTACTCCTCTCAGTGGCAGGCAGCCATGGACGCCGAGATGGCTTCCTGGAAGTCCACAGGCACCTACGTAGACGAGGTTCCCCCACCTGGGGCGAACATCGTCAGTGGCATGTGGATCTTCAGGGTGAAGCGGCCGCCGGGTTCTCCGCCTGCCTTCAAGGCGCGTTACGTTGTACGTGGCTTCAGTCAGCGACAGGGAGTTGACTTCTTTCAGACCTTCTCCCCTACCCCGAAGATGACCACTCTTCGGGTACTGCTGCACGTTGCTGCTCAGCGTGACTACGAGCTCCACTCGCTTCACTTCAGCACGGCCTTCCTACAGGGCAGCCTGCACGAGGAGATCTGGCTGCGCCGCCCACCTGGCTTCACTGGGTCGTTTCCTGCTGGTACCCAGTGGAGCCTCCGGCGGCCAGTCTACGGTCTCCGCCAGGCACCCCGTGAGTGGCACGACACATTCAGGACGACTCTTGCTTCTCTTGGTTTTGCTCCTTCCACTGCTGACCCTTCTCTGTTTCTACGCACTGACACTACTCTGCCGCCGTTCTACGTTCTCGTGTACGTAGACAACCTCGTCTTTGCTACTGCTGACACTGAGGCACTCGCCCACGTGAAGTCGGAGCTGCAGAAGAGACACACGTGCACAGACCTGGGTGAGCTGACAAGCTATCTTGGCTTGCGGATCACCCGGGACAGAGCACAGCGCACCATTACCTTGACTCAGTCACACATGGTGCAGCAGGTCCTTCAGCGCTTGTACCCACCTGCTTCCTAGTTCAGTCATTCATTCGCTCACATTCTAACAATACCCTCTTAGCATCTTGGCACGCTATGTTGCTCCTGGGAGACACCGACCAGAGCACATGGCTGCAGCGAAGAGGGTGTTGCGCTACTTGTGCAGTACGTCGGGCATGGGGCTCGTGCTTGGAGGGCGGAGTCCAGTGGTCCTCACTGGTCACGCAGACGCGTCTTGGGTTGACGACCTGGCTACGCAGCGGTCGTCACTGGGTTACACCTTCAGCCTTGGTTCCGGCTCTGTTTCATGGCGGTCTACCCGCTCGTCTTCTGTTCTCAGCTCCAGCTGTGAAGCTGAGATCTATGCAGGGGCCATGGCTGCACAGGAGTTACGCTGGCTCACCTACCTGCTGACTGACCTTGGAGAGCCGCCTCGTTCTCCTCCAGTTCTGTACGTAGACAACAAGGCCATGCTGGCCTTGTGTTGGGAGCACAGACTGGAGCACAGAACGAAGCACATTGCTCTTCGCTACTTCCTTGCTCGTGAGCTGCAGCTGCGTGGTCAGCTGCGCCTTGCTTACGTGGCCTCTCAGGCCAACACTGTTGATATCTTCACCAAGGCACTTCAGCCTTGTGATCATCAGCGTTTCTGTACTATGCTAGGTATTGTGCCTACTTGGCCTCACTTGCTTACCTCTTGACTTTACTTGTACTGTGATCTATACATACCTGCACCTGCTTGTTTACCTTTATATATAATCCTGCATGTGAACTGGCCTTGTGGCCTTTGAACCTGTGCTCGGAATGTGTGGTGACGTTGTGATCCACCTTGAGCTTGCTTTGCTTTGCTTTGCTTGACTGGTCTTGTGACCCCTAGTTCTCCCCCACTTTGCCTATGGGGGTGTGTCAGATATATATGACCTAGCCTATGTAGGCTGTAGTGGGGTAGACACTAAGGGGTACAGGTTTCATATTTGTATCACACACTTTCCTAGTTCATTCACTTTTCCCTCTTTCGTAACATTTAGCAACCCTTGTGATAAGTGTTGCACCTGTTCAAAAACCTGATTATCAGTGTGACACCTTCTTCAAACCCTGATCCATCAGTGTTTTTCTTGCTTTTGAAAATCCAACCTTGTGGCATCAGTGTACCAGTTTAGCAAACCCTGATGAATTGATATTATCGTTGCACACAATAAAATTTTTAGATCATCATACATGCCACATGGGTGTTGCTCGTCGTCAGTTACTTCAGCAGGCTGAAATTCCGGTTTCGACAGTTGGCAATCGGGAATCCCGGGTTACGGGAAAGGGGGGGTGGGGGAAGTGTGGTACTCGCTTCAGGGTAAAACTCGTTATTAAGAACGGTAACCCTAAGGCATCAGTGTGCCTTAAATGTAAACCCTGGCATATCAGGAAAATCCTAGCTCCACAAAAAATTACCCTAGGCCATCAGTGTGACTACCAAAAACCACCCTAATAATCAGGGTATCAAGGTGATTTACACTGATAAAATTAGCCTTGATCCGGGGCCATATGGTACATGACCTTATGGTAAGACTCGGGTCTTAGGGTACATTCCGCTCAGGACATGTCCCTTAAGAAAGTGTCGCAATCGATTATGACGCGTACTTACAGCATATGCTGCCATGTGTCGGAATTCGGGACCGCGCAGCAAAGTCGCAAAACGTTATTTCGATTGGCTGGCGTGAACCACGGAACTTTCGCGGGCTAATTGAACGCCAGCGCGACAAGGACCTGCCATCGCACGCGGCTCCAAATGTCTATCCCCTCTGCATGTAGCTGGTTGGATTTTGAGGGGCTTGCTGTGTTGGTGCAGCTGATCATCACAATGAGTGGTCCACTCACGCGAAGGGCCAATCACAGCCCTTCTTGTATAATTGTCGCGTGCTACTGCAAGGTCGCAGTACATCGATCCTTTGTGACATCAGGTTCAGAGACATTTGAGCGCGACTCGGCCAAAATGTGTTTGCGACACTTTCTTAAGGGACGTCCTGAGCGGAATGTACCCTTATAAAATAACTGTTAGGACCTCCCACCCCATTTTTGGAGTGGGATTCTTATAATACCCCTGGGTCTTTTATCCGGGGTTTTACGGTATGTGTGCTCTTGGGTTTCAGCTCTATCAATGGAGGGCAGACATGCAAAGAAATAGTGCAGAGGTGTGCACACCTTGCCTCACATTGCATCGTTTTCCACGATGGTGCGATCCTCGCTTGTTCACTCCATTGCATGTATATTTCGAGCAATAATACCAAGCTTTCCGGTACATCCTCTAGTGATCACATCTGTTAGGATACACAATGTTTATCGCTACTAGTAACTAGTGGCAGTGAACAGCTGTAAGTCCACAGATCAACCTAGCGTCCCGCATGCATGCATTTTCAGCGCAAAGGCCTTCCATGAGCAGCAGGCAATGGTGGAGTGTCACTGCTTGGCGTCAGCGTCAGCCTGGCCCTTGCCCCTGGCGTGGCGCAGGCGCTCCTTCTCCTCCTCCACCTGCGCCAGCATCGCCTCCAGCTCCGCCTCCGGCATCGCCTCCAGCCGCTTCTGCTCCGCCCCCAACCACCGTCATCGTAGTGGGCGGTTGGTACGGGGGAAACAGATGGGAGATTGAAATGAGTGACAGGATGGGTAATAGAAATGGATGACCGAATCGGTCATTGATAATGGTGAATCAATCAGGTTGGGTATGGGTGATGAGATGGGTGATGGGAATGGGTGATGAGATGGGTGATGGGAATGGGTGATGGGATGGGTGATGGTGGGAATGGGTGATGGGATGGGTGATGGGAATGGGTGATGAGAATGGGTGATGGGAATGGGTGATGGGATGGGTGATGGGAATGGGTGATGGGAATGGGTGATGGGAATGGGTGATGGGAATGGGTGATGGGAATGGGTGATGGGATGGGTGATGGGATGGGTGATGGGAATGGGTGATGGGAATGGGTGATGGGAATGGGTGATGGGAAGGGGTGATGTGAATGGGTGATGGGAATGGGTGATGGGAATGGGTGATGGGAATGGGTGGTGGGAATGGGTGTGCAGCGGCATGCAGAGGAGCGGTGGAATGACGGACCTTCATAACAGCGTCCTCATAGTCCTTGAGCTGCTTCACATACGTCATCTCCTTGTTGCCCACTCGCCACACATAGCTGGCCGCCCACACCAAGCACAGCCCCAACACCAGCACCAGCTGCACCACGCTGCCCGACTGGAACGAGTCAAACCCCGCCAACTGACCACGAGGGGAGGATGGGGGAGGGGAGATGGGGATTGACCAGGTACCGCGACTCCCAACATCACGTCCCCAGGGCGTAACAAACGAATGTGAGAAAGAGAAAAGAAAGAAATGAAAGAAAAAAGAAAGAAAAAAACGTAGACACCAAAGTCCGAAAGAACTTGGCAGTGTACCGAACTCACCCTGCTGTTCTACCTGTGTCACCTCCAGCCGTCCTCACCTCCAGCCGTCCTCACCTCCAGCGCCTCACCTCGAGGCCGTACTTGATTCTCACCTCGAGGCCGTACTTGATTCTCACCTCGAGGCCGTACTTGATTCTCACCTCGAGGCCGTACTTGATTCTCACCTCGAGGCCGTACTTGATTCTCACCTCGAGGCCGTACTTGATTCTCACCTCGAGGCCGTACTTGATTCTCACCTCGAGGCCGTACTTGATTCTCACCTCGAGGCCGTACTTGATTCTCACCTCGAGGCCGTACTTGATTCTCACCTCGAGGCCGTACTTGATTCTCACCTCGAGGCCGTACTTGATTCTCACCTCGAGGCCGTACTTGATTCTCACCTCGAGGCCGTACTTGATTCTCACCTCGAGGCCGTACTTGATTCTCACCTCGAGGCCGTACTTGATTCTCACCTCGAGGCCGTACTTGATTCTCACCTCGAGGCCGTACTTGATTCTCACCTCGAGGCCGTACTTGATTCTCACCTCGAGGCCGTACTTGATTCTCACCTCGAGGCCGTACTTGATTCTCACCTCGAGGCCGTACTTGATTCTCACCTCGAGGCCGTACTTGATTCTCACCTCGAGGCCGTACTTGATTCTCACCTCGAGGCCGTACTTGAGGGCGACACCAGCGACGGTGATGCCGACGCCGATGAGAATCACGTCCAGCCGCGTGTAGCCGAAGGGCGGCTGGGGGATGCACCGCCATCGCCATGCACACATGGGAGAGGGAGGGCGGGTAGGATGGCATGCAGGGGAGTGGAGGATGTGCGGATGGTGCCCCATGGTGGTGCCCCATGATGGTGGTTCACGACTGATCATGCGCACCACAAATGGAATTTGATTATGGTGCATTGATGATGGCGCATTGAAGGGAGCGGAAGGATGAAGCGATGGAAGCAAACTGGATTCCAACCCTCTCTCCTTGCTTCCTCCTTTCCATATCGCCTTCCCTCCCTTCCTCATATCTTTCTCACTGCCTCTGTGGGCACACTGACTGCCTCTGTGGGCACACTGACTGCCTCTGTGGGCACACTGACTGCCTCATATGACCAAGACTATCAGAATTTCACCTCAACCATCCCCAACCCGCTTCCTCTCCAACTGTAGAAACCTATCCCTCCCTCCCTCCCTCCCTCCCTCCCTCCCTCCCTCCCTCCCTCCCTCCCTCCCTCCCTCCCTCCCTCCCTCCCTCCCTCCCTCCCTCCTCCCCCGCATCTCACCCTCCCCTCTGGCTTCTCTGGTTGCGCCTCTGCCCGCACGCCATTCCTCCTCTTCCCCGCCGTCCCCAGCCCCAATCTCCCCTGCTCTCCGATGTGCGCCCGGCGGGGGAGAAGCGGAGGTGCGCGTTGGGAAAAAAGAGGCGGACGCGGAAGGAATGCGGAGCGTAGAGGCGCGGAGGCGGGAGAAGCGACGCCTGCTGGAGGCGGAGGGGAGAGACGGGATAGAGGAGAAATAGCAACCTAAGATGGAGGGAAAACGAAGGGTCGGCAAGATGAAAGACCATTTATGGCGGAAGGCTCGGAGCAAACGCGCGCAGGATAGGAGGCGCGCGCCGCGTGGTCGAGCGAGGTGCGACGCGAGGCAACGTCGGAAGCGACGCACGGCGGACAGGTGCTCGAAGCGGATGGAATGACGACGAAAATGAAGGAGAGCTCGGAGCGCGGGGGAAGGCGAGCGGCGGCGCGAGGTGGCTGACCTCTGGCGCTGATGGAGTAGGGAAGCAGAGAAGAGGCGGCGCCGATGACGAGAGCTGCAGCCATGGCGGCAAGGAAAGTGTTGAAAGTGGAGATGGTGCTAAGGAGCGTTTGCTAGGTTATGAAGGTGGCGCTAGGGCAAGAAACGTAGGTAGCTAGGCACGCTTTAGCGCGTACGCCTGGAAACACGGTGCTTGTTAGGGCGCGTGTGATCTTCGAAAACTGTAAAATTTTACATTTTTGAATCGCATGTAGCTTTCTAACTTTATCTGTTATCAATGTGTGAATCATGAACTCTGTGATTTAGCGTGTGAATCGAGTGTTTTGCGCGGTTCGGTAGAACCGCTTTGATATAATATCGCCACGTGTCATGCTTTCGATCACGCGCGGCGCGTTTCGTTTTATTGTTACCACAAGGGCCGATGTTCCAACACTTTTTAGAATTTCAGGGTTGGTGACGAAATTTTGGTGATACATCGAGCAAGAAAAACGTTCTTCATTCATGGATGTGCGGGTTGTCGCTTCTACAACAGTGCCGCCTGTAATCGAAACTGTAACCACAACTTCATCTCAAATCTGTTGAGATAATATCGAAGACGTAAAGCACTTCAAGGAAATTCGTGTAGTACAGTAAAGTACCGATAGGCTGACGTCAGCAAAGCGCTATGCGACCTAGGATGACGTCAGCACGTAGCTATAGACTTCGCGAATAGTTACGTACCGTTTCAAGATAAGAATAGCACAGTATAGTAGGCGAACAGGTACTTTACTCTAGCTATATATTTTGTATGTTTGTCATTTTATAATATATCTGATTTCAGAGACATTGATCCTGAAACACATCACTACATGGGCTTTCACTAGTCCAGACAAAAGCCTCCTTAACTGGCTTTAATTCATACAAGACTTCCGCTACGACAGGAAGCTACCATCCTAAGTAGTACGATCCTATTCAGTCATTTCAAATTCTAACATGGTATGAGAGCAACTTAGGATTATAACAGCTTCCACCTGCCTACTCTACAACTATGTCTGGATCTCCAAGGTCCAACAATGGCTCTTCTGTTACGAGCCCATCACGCCCAACAGCGTCTCCAGCTGCTGATAATTCACATCTGCAGCAACAACAACAACAATATCAGCAACAACCGATGTACGGCATGCCATTGAGCAATCAGCCCGTACACGCAACTACAGCAGCGGCATCATCGACAGCAGCCGCAGCAATAGCAGCATCAGCAGCCACAACAGCTGCAGCTGCAGTCACTGGTTATTCTAGTCAACCGGGACAACAGTCCAACTTCGTACCGACTGGACCTTACCAATATCAAGGTGCTTACCAGCCAGCAAATCTTCAACAACGTGTTAATGCTGCCGTCTTGTCACTTAACCAGATGTTTCCAACTCCTATGAGCATTGATGGCTCCAGTTATCAGCGTGGTCAGATGCCACAAGGAAGTGATGGGTCGAACAACTCCTTCTCTTTTGTTCCTGCTGGACAAGGACAACAAACACAACAAGGGTCACAAGTGCCATCACTTTATCAGCTACAATCAGCTGACGGTACCGGAAATTATATTCCTGCTTCTGCAAATCCAACAAAAATTAAAACGACAACGCCTTTTAATGGTCAAGACTTTTATACCTGGAGCTTTGAGTTTGAGCTTCTTGTTCAAACCACGGGGTTCTGGCAGCTGTATGACGGCACAACACCTTTTCCATCTCATGGGTCACCACTTCAACAAGCCACTTTTCGATCGGCGTCGCTGACTGCATACACAGTTCTCGTTCGTAATCTGACACCGACTGAACAGCTCGGAATTCGTTCTTTTCGTACCAGTGCCGCTCCTGCTGAAGCAGCTTGGTTGTACCTGCAAGGGGTTCATATGGCAAAGGACACTGTCAACCAGAGTAAAATTTTGACGCAGCTGTCAAATATACAGATGATAAACGGCGAGAAGGTGACGCAGTATATTAACCGCGCTCGAAATTTGCGTGATCAACTTCAGAAGTGTGGAGGGTACTTCTCTGACGCTATGTTCCACACGGTGCTCCTCGCGGGTCTTGGACCAGAATGGCGACAGTGTCGCTCTATACTTCGTATGCAAGCACAGTTGTCCGAGGGGGCACTCTGTGCCGCTCTCATCGCCGAGCAGCAGGATATGGATCTACACAACGCTCGAGGAGGGAAAAAGATGGTAAACAATACAGTCAGTTTTTATTCTAATCCACATCACAAGCCCGTTTGTTCCTTTTGTCGAAAAGCAGGACACACAATTGATACCTGCTGGTCGAAAGATAAACCATCTTGGAAGCGGTCTGCATCAAAACATACCAAAGATTCTTCAAGCGAAGCTGAGAAGCCGGAAGCTGAGAAGCCGGACGCTGCGAAGCAGACTACTGCGAAGCCGAACTCTGCGAAGCCGACTACTACACTTGCCAAGACACAAAACAAAGAAGTTATTAATTGCATGACATCAGTTTCTACCGTCTACGACCCTGACGCTGAAGAACGTATTCACAGTAACCTCAACGATGAACTTAATACGCCTATACCGCCCGAGGTCTACGCAAACCTTGCACATACCTTGGAAGGGCCTAACACTTGGTATCTTGACAGCTGTTGCGGCCAGCATATGTGTTCATCAGAAAATCGATTCGTCATCAATCAGCGTCGTCTTCAGAATCCGTGCGTTGTAACCGTCGCCAATAATCAACGTCTTATAGCACACTGGACGGGTAACGTCATTCTTGATTCTATTGACGAAGACTTCAGTCTTCATCTTAACGATGTACTCCTCGTTCCTCGACTTGGCTTCAACCTGATGTCATCTGCACAGCTCATGAGAAATGGCATTACTCTTCTTGGTGAACCGGGCAAGTTTACTTTAAAATATGGAGACAAGAAACTCGGCACGGCAATTGAACAGAACGGTGCGTTCGTTCTCAACTTCGTACCTGAACGCACCACTGCCGACTCCGAGAATATTCTCTCTCTTGGCCCATGGGAACATCGTGATGACATCGATTACACCGATGATACCGTTCCTCGTGATGGAGTTGTACCCACGTCTTCGACCACAGCTGCCGCAGTGATGCTGACCTTTGACAATCAAGGTTTGAATGACGTCCAGAATTCCCGAGATTATCTTGCTGGTGGTTGGGGAGATACAACGAATATGCCCACGGTTGAAGGTACTTGGGGGGCACAGGAACCTGACGAAACCACTTGGGGAGAAACACCGGCTGATCGTGATCGACGTCTTCTTACTGAAGCAGAGCAGCGTGTTGCTGACATGGAAGTCCTCGACTCCGGACGACTTGTCGGTGTTGAGCCTAAACCTGCAGCATCAGATCAAGAGAGTGGGGAGTTAATTCTTTCACGTGGCGAATCCATCGACGTCGAAGTCAAAATACCTCCTCCTAACCTTACCAGGTTCATCCCGCCAGTCACCGATCATGTTCACACTGACGGTCATCGGCTGTTGTTATCTTTCTTCGCTAACGCCGATTATTATCTGCGCGCACAGGGACACAATGCAACTGCAGAAACCTGGCATAAACGTCTTGGTCATCCGTCGCAGTCTACGCTCAACAGCACTATCAAAGCAGCTGTTCTTGACAAGAATTCTCTTCTCTTACCTGGCGGCCTCGAGATGAAACCAGTTAATCGTCCGTCACCCTGCATGATCTGCCCAGCAGCAAATCTACCGCACGAACCGTACCCGACTCATTTTCCTGGCGCTGAGGATTATCGATTGATGGAAAAAGTTTACAGCGATATTTTAAACTTACCTGCGGAAGGGTCAACGGCGAAAAATATGTTATCACGTTCACTGAAGCTTCTACTCGATACGTCTGGACTGGTAACATGACTAACCGTTTTCTTGCTTTCACAGCTTTTCGGACATGGCTGCCTCTAGCAAAATGCGAGTCCGACACAAAACTCAAAACCTTCCAATGTGACGGAGCTGGGGAATATCGCAGTCTCGAGTTTACCACGTACCTTCCTCACGCTCATCAGCAGAGCGGTGTAGCTGAACGCCTCAATCGTACTCTGCAAGAAAAGATGCGAGCGCTACTCGCACAGTCTCAACTCGGCCCACTCTACTGGCCCTTTGCGATGGACCACGCAACGCTGTTGCACAACCTACTGTCTTCATCGGCTTTACCAAACAACGCATCGCCTCACTTGTTATGGACAGGAAAATTGGGCACTACGAAACTTCTTCGAGTTTTTGGGTGTGTTGTGCAATATCGTCCTCCCACCGCTCCGCTCGGAAAGTTCGATCAACGTGCTAAGTGGGGTCTTCATCTCGGCCTTGAGAAGCATTTTTCTGCATGGCGTATTCTGGATTATCGCAATCGACTTTTAATTCCTGCCCGCGACTGTATTTTCTACGAAAATCTGACCCTTCCTGTCTTCGAACAGTACCTCGCCACGCAGCGTGACCCTGCTACACTTTTCCACGGTGTTCGCTCATTCGCCAGTGCTGACGCCGAACTTGCTGCCAGCGAAGAACCTGATATTGACGGTGCACGTGAAGCCGCTCCTGATCCACCTATTCCAACCACGTCTTCCGGATTTCCGGAGTTCATTCCACTCGTTGACGCTCATCCCGACGATGTTCGTGAAGTTCATCATACTTACCTGGTGGACGATCAACGACGTCCCATGCCAGCTGTAACTGACAGCAGCATCCGCGTCAATCCTGACGAAATTGGGGGGGCAAATGGTGAACAGTGTGAATCTTTCAATTTCGCAGGACGGACCGACGACAGTCCTAATTATCAAACTGGGCTTCAGATACTGGGACTCGCAGCAGCAGTACAGCATAATTCTTCAGAAGTCGCAGAACCGAAAACTGCCCGACAGGCCCTTTCAGGACCACATCGCGAAAAATGGCGTGAAGCCATGGATCGTGAACTGGCTACCCTGGAAAAACGGGAGACTTGGGATCTCATACCCATCGAAAAAGCTACAAATAAAAATATTCTTACCGGAAAATGGGTCTTCAGGGTGAAGACGAAAGCTGACGGCTCTTATGAAAAACATAAGGCAAGGT